GTTAGAAGAAGAAAGAACGACCCAACCAGCACGGATGTCTGCATGGTTTTCTCAGACCAAGAACAGGAAGATTTGATACACTGCCTGATTAACTGCAAAGAAGCTACAGATTATTGGGCAAGAGCAGCAGCCCTATGGGGCAGTCTATTCTCGTCTCCCCTCCCAGAACACCCCCTTCAACTGCTCCTCTGGACTAACTTACCCTCTAACCTTGACAAGTCGGAGAAAATCTGGTTCAGTATGGTACGCAAGGTCACACTCTGGGCAATATGGAAAGAGAGATGCAACAGAACTCTGGACGGCACGAAGAATCCACGGGAGAAAGTGTGGGCAGCAACCAAAGAGATGATTGAAGCGGAAATCCTGTGTCATTGGAGGAAGGTCAAACTGTGGATGCAGAACAGTCCGGAGACAGAACAGGTGACACTTGCCAAATCCATACGGGTGTGGTTGGTAGGGGGCAAAGTGGCATGGCTGAATGGGCAGATTTTAAGATGGAAAGAGTGGCATAATTCGGCCAAGCCTGTTTCTCAGCGCCCAGGTGCACGAGGAACCAACTCCAATCTGGGCCTAGAAGAACGTCCAAGATACACGAATGGCAGCCGATGTTTCACAGGGAACAGATCACCAAAGAATTCAGGGGACGCCAGCATGCAAAGGAATGGAAGAACTCAGTAGTCCGTCCTTCAGGAAGCTCGTTTTCACAGAGTCAATGTGGCAGCTAAGGGTAGCAAACACTGGCCATAGCTGAGAGGATTCCTACACGGATGGCAAGTTGACAGTCAATCCTCCATATGATTGGAGCAATCAATGCTGTTCAGGGGTCCTTCAGCCAGACGGAAGGAATTGTTGGTGTGTGAACTCTTGTATCTTATGACTTGCCGGGGGAAAGGAACCGGACAATTAGGAGTCTCGTTAAAACTATAACTGAGGGTTTAGGGTTTTGGACAACCAAGGCAAACACGGCTCAGACTGGTAGGGATCTCATGAGGTACATGGGCGGGGATCAGAGTTTAGACAGAATTGGCAGCCTTTGTAGCGTCCAGGCCCTTTCTTGCCATTTATGTTCTATCTGACAGGCCATTATAGTGGACCTGAGAAGAAAGGGAAAAGCACGGCAAGCTGACAGTCAATCCTCCACGATGCTGGAGTAATCAATGCTGGTCAGGGTTCCTTCAGCCAGATGGAAGGAAGCGTACGTGGGTTCATGATGTAATATTTATTCCGACTTGCCGGTGGAATAGGAACCGGACTGATGCTCCCCAGAATGGAAATGGAGCCAGGACCATAAGGACCTGTCTTTTGCTATAAAAAAAAAAGAAAAAAAAAATTCGAATTGCGAAAAAGAAATGTCGTGAAATCAGTCTTGCAAATTCACACTCAAACATGCATGCAACAGATGAGAATAACTTGGCGCTGTGCACCCAACTCAAACTCGGAGATATGGTAGCTTGCARMTCRACTCAAATCCAAGTTCACTTCAGTTGGCTATGGCGCTRGGHGCCCTCACTTACACGTTCGACTCAGAGTTCACACGCAACTCGACTCCGGATCACCCTGGATACCATGCACGCCAACCACTGCACACACACATACACACTCACTAACTGTCTATGGCTATGGCGCATGGCCACTAACAGCTAACTAGCCTANTAGCTTGCAACTCAACTCAAATCCAAGTTCACTTCAGTTGGCTATGGCGCTAGGCGCCCTCACTTACACGTTCGACTCAGAGTTCACACGCAACTCGACTCCGGATCACCCTGGATACCATGCACGCCAACCACTGCACACACACATACACACTCACTAACTGTCTATGGCTATGGCGCATGGCCACTAACAGCTAACTAGCCTATCACTAACTTCTGCCCACTTCGTCTTCAGGCCATCTGCMGACCTCCCTTGCACAAGACGCCCGAGCAGCGCTTCCGCAGAGCTTCCGCAGGAATGAATGAATGGCTGGACGCAGCCTCTTGATTTTTACTTCTGTGTTGCATTGGTCTGCCTTGTATCCCTGGCCCATGATGCACACAGTCCCCCCCGTGGTACTTGCTGGACCGGACTGGTACTTTCTAGACTTTCCCATGACTGCATAGTGACAACCCTACGACGCAGTGCAGTTGCACTGGGGTCCTACTATTTGCCCTTGCCATTTGTCCTCGTCTCCAACACGGGCTTGCTTTAGTCACACCACTTGACCACTTGCCAACCTTCTAGAAGGACTGCAGCTGGACTTCTACTCTACAGGTTTATGGATCAAATCCTGGCTACCTAAAGACCTACGACAGACCTACTTACCACTGGCGGTCCTACAGGTCGCAGGTTCAATTCTTCAAGTTGTCACAGATATTGTTCACAGGTAAGTTGGGGAACTAGGGATCGAACCCTGGGTCCTGCATCAGCTACTTCGAACTGGTGAATACCGTTTCAGTCGAAAAAAAAAATCATTAATTCTGAAATATTTTCGAATTACAAAATCTTCCAAAAAGAATTAATTAAAATTGTTTTCGAAGTTCAAGGAAGAAATGCGAGGATGTGGCTCCTCAACAGGCCTAAAGGGCCCCTGATGCAAGTGTGCCCGCCCTAAGTAAAGGCGGGCCTAACAAATCACGAAAGGCCCAAATGCTGTCAATTTCGTATGTGGGGTTCAGACAGTTGTGTCGCGTCAGTTGGTTGAGGGAACCCAGGACTCGATTTGCAAAGAATTTCCACGGCCTTCCAGGCCTTTCTGAAATGCAGGCCCTGGGCAGGATTCGCAGCAACATACACAGAGTTGGGAGGCCTAACTGAACGAGTCCCAGCAGCTGCAGCAGAGGACCAGCCACCTGGGGCCTACCGGAAGCTTCTGGGCGCAGGCCCAGCCCAGCCAAGCCGCAGGCCTGGCCAGAACTCGTCCAGGAAAGAGTTTGTGGCCAGGCAGAGGATTCAGGCACTTGCAAGCTCGCTGCTGGAGCGGAGTCTCGCGGGCTGCTGCTTGCGCTAAGGCAAGGTGCTGTGCAAGTGCGGTCGTGTACGAGGAAGGGCGCTGCTGAGGGCAGCGCCATCAGCAGCGCCATAGCCCAGCCTCCATAGCTGGCTGGGGCTTGGATGTACAGCAAGGCGCAGGGGTGGTCTTCGGGTGTACAGAGGGAAGACGTGGGTGAAAGTCAAGGAACAAGGCAGGAGCAGGATGGTGATGATGATGTGAGGGCACATACCTGGTATTGGCGATGGTCTGCATGGGCGACATCTTCAAGTACTTCGGAGGCTGCTGACATCAACAGTTGCATTGTCAATTAGTAGGCTTGTAGTAGCTGTGTAGGGAGTAGGCTGGGCGCTGAGCGCCAAGTAGGGAGATAGGGACTGGATACATATGTAAGTGGTGGTGAGAGCAAGCTCTCATTGACATTGGTTTTCAGTGCTACGATTCTCCATTGGTATTGGTGCAATGCTGCTTTCTGAACACTGTGATACGATCTGGCTTTCAATGTGATTGTGCAGTCTGAATATTGTCATCTCGCTATTGCTCATTTTCCTTGCAATTTGGTATCGGAGCTGGTTCGAAACGCGCTTTACTGGTTCTTCGCAATAGCTGTCCGGTGCTTCGCATGAGGTGTGGGGCATGCGGGCGCGCCAGGAAGACTATGTGGTGACATAAGTGTGTACGCTGGATGATGAGAGCTCGCTGACGTGGCATTTAAGCCGAGGCGGAACTGCATTTCGTTGTTAGTTGTGCCAAGGCAAAGACCAATCATCATAAATGCACGTCAGGTTGCCGGTGAGAAATCTGTGGTTGGGGGCAACATTATGAGGTACGTTGCTCTCTTCCTTATCTACCCTCTTCATTACTTCTAATCGTGAGGAAGCGAGTTCTGCCTTGAGAGTCCTCTCAATGTGAGGTGTTGCGATCGCTCAACCTTGAGAGTGGACATTCTTCCTGGGCAGCAAGCTGGTGGGAGATGGGCGAAGCCTCTGAAGGGCCCTGGACGAAGCACTCGGGTAACAGTCACCATGCCAACCCGTTGGGACTAGTAGACGCATGCTTTGCCGCAAGTCCTTGGTTCTGCTGCTGTGCAACAAAGGTCATCCTGGGCATGCCAGCCCTTTGAGAGACGCTGACCAGACCGTCTATAAACATTTCTGGCGGAACCCTGGCTGTGATCGTCGTCCTGTCTGTGACGTTAAATAATTCCTGAGGACCTTGGGGGCTGTCCTTAAACTGCCTCTTGATCAGCCAGATCAAATTGGAAGTAAGTCTCATTGCATTCGAGGGTAAACAAGGCGCAGGGGTTGGCGGGCTTAGCATAGACTTGGGGCACAGGGGTGGGCTGGATTGCACAC